TCAGAGCTGGCAGAAATTAATTCAAGGGGGATTTTTGACTTGGTCTCCACTGCTGTATTCTGCTTTTATCCTTGAATACAAGAATCTTAAGAGACGAAATGGACATCAGAAAACTAGGATGTTATTTTTATATAAGTATAGTATTATATGAAATTGAGATGTCTTTTGCTTAGGTGAAAAATGGGTCACTTTGATTTTGTTGTATTTACCAAAACCCTTCATGTTTAGAAAACCTAAGGGAACTAAGCATTTAATTAGCTAAGTTATCTTTTAAATTTTACTTGGTTCTCCATTATTTATAATGCCTTCTCAGTGTTACTATTTGCTCATTCAAGTTACAAACCCTGAACCCAACAGAGATTTAATTCAATACATCAAACACTTACTGAGAGCCTTCTAAAGGTTAAGCCTTACACTAGACCTGGGGGATATGAAACAAAAATGTTTTCATAATATACGTGTGCCAGCATTTGTATGCATAATTATAGAGAAAGAAAAGTAAGTTAATAAATTGACACGTATACTAGTGGTCATAGCCGGGTTACGGAATAATGAATAATTTCTACTTCCTCTATTCTATTTTTCTGAACTGCTTAAACCTTTTAAATATGACCATATATTACTCTTACAACTATTGCAAAACAAAAAACTAAGGCTCCTTCTATGGGACTAAGCAAAAGCAAAGGAAATAAAGACTACTACATCCGTTATGCTATGCCAATTAATTTTTACTTTCATAAAACAACAAAAAAATTAACTTTTCCTCGAAAACAGCCTCAATTATTTTCAAAAAGAACTCTGAGAATCTGAGATTGTATACGACAGCAAACAAATTGTGACCTGACCAATCAAACTAAGCGGTCAAAATCTATTTGTCTCAGGTAGAGTCACCAGGCCATAAAAAGAGCCCTTGGATTTAAAATTGCTACTTACAACATCAGATGATTCTGTGGCTCCAGAGCTCACTGGGGAATAATAAATGCCATTTGTGAACCAGAAATAAGAACTTTTATTCAAAGAAGTAGAGAAAATGAATCCCTGGGACTTATGGATTTATTTTTTTAGTTTTGTTTTGTTTTGGTAGATACAAGTGAAAAATGAGTTTTTGCTACATGCTTTGGATACTTAAGCTTATGTTAGAAGCCTGGGTAAATATAATAATACTCAAAGAAATAAACTGAAAACCACAAAACAAATATTTAGAACCAGATACTCGACCGCAGTACTACCAATGAAATACCTCTCTAATGAGCCTGGATTAGTAGCTGCAAACTCAAATTGAAAAGTGGGATTCACTCACCGGTAAGTCACCTTTAAGGCTACATTTATCAGGAAGATTTGTATATGCTATTCATATATATAATAGCTATTCATAAATTTCGATCAATCATAATCAACCATTTCAAAAGCCACTGAAATCTCTGTCAGTTAACCAGCTCCATATTGCTCTAAAAATAATTTTCTCCATTCTTACACTGATAATAAAAATACAACCTCAGTTTTGGAGGAGCAAAGGGGAGGGAGGATGGAGTATCCAGATAAGTTAAGAAAACCATGTCCTGTCTCTTTTAACCTTCAACCTATGGCCCTTTACTTTTCCTTTACTTACACTTTCCATCTGTCAACAAGTGCTCGTAATTTTATTACACTGTCCTGTAGTTTATGCAGAGTTGGTATTATTTTACAGAGTTCTGTTAATGGACTGGATAAATGGTAATGCTATTTAAACTAGCCTCCTGCTCCAACAAACACAGCTGCAACTGTACTACTATTTCTGAGCAAACATCTTGACCTGAACTTGTAGTGCTTTCTCAACCCATCCAAAGAGAAATTGGAGCAGACAGCAAAGGAAAAGCATATTTGGCCGCGAGCAGCAACCGACCGTGTCGAATCATAAGTCATATACAGTGTACCCTCTTTTTCTTGTATATTGCACTTAGAGTGCAAAAATTAGCATGTGTGCTTCTTTACCTGGAATCTCATTTTCAGCCAAGAGTCAAATGGTGATTAGTCATTACAAAAGCACAAAAAAAAACTACATAAAGTCGGTATATTTGACTAGTTTTAATCTAAGCAAACAATGATAAAAATCAAAATTCAGTGTATGAGCTATCTATTAAACTAGTAAGCTTTTTCACTATGTATCAGGAAAAAAAGAATTAAACAAGGGTAAAAGATACAAAACGTTAGAAAAAGAAAAGATATTAATTGGCATTATACAACAATTTATAAAAGAAGAAATTCTAAATGTGTTTCTTTCATAAATTCTAGATGTGCATGGTTCTACTACATTATCTAGTAGGACAATTATGGATCGTTTAATACGTATATGCGACAAACAAATATTTCCCATCTCAACATATTTTCCCTGTTATTTGTCAAAAATCCTATATCCCTTGTTCTGTCACTCATCCTTCTTGTGAAAGATTCCTTTTTAAATGAGCACGTTAAAGGATATTTGTGTATGTGGATTTGTGCACATTTTCCCATCAGTTAGAACATTTGTTTTGGGTGAGCTACTTAGGTACCCGTACCACGTGAAGAAAATGTGAACTTGAATCCTCCCTCTTAGAAATTACACTAACTAGGCAGTCAGCTTCGCTAGCTTTTGTTCTTTTATTTCTAAAAGATTCTTAAAGATGGCTGTTTAATTTAAATAGTGATCACTATCATGAAAAAAAAAAAGTGGCCACATGCAAATTATAATTATCCTTTCAAGAGAAAGATCATGGCCATCAACCCAATAAATCTAATTCAGGTGAGACAGTGGTGCCTCCACTCAAGATTCCTGACGTGAGAATGCAGAAAAAAATTACACCTGTGTGTTTCCATGTGCATCCAGTGACTATGTCAGGTGTCAAATGCCAGTTCATATTAAACATTTAACCATCAAGCTCTAAGTTCAGGAATATCAAAGCATTCAAAAGTCCCTCTTGAAACCAGTCCCATCTAACAAACAAAACTTTATCTTCTGTGACTCCCCAGAAGAAATCTTGTGAGCCAAATAGGCACACCGTAAATCTGAACACATTTTCTAGCTACCTATTTCTCATTTCTAAAAATGCTCTTAAATAACTAGAAAATGTCACCTTATAGTTGTATGGGTTCTGTTTCTTTAATACACTTCTTAAAGAATTGAAGTCTCTTTTCATACAGCAGCATCATAAAGTTATAAAATCACATCAAAACATAAAAGAAAACCCCTTGGTCCACCATGTGATATTGTCAAAAAAAATTAACAAAGTATAATTGGCGGATAGATGGCTCTGCACTGGATTACACCACTTTACATGAAGCTTCCTAAGAAAATTAATGTGAGTACTTCTAGACTAAAAATCAAATGCTGTTGTTTCTCAGAGATAGTGTTAAAGTTATCACAACTCTTCAGCTTCATAATTTTAATGCTAGATGAGTCATTTTGTCTAAATTATATTTCCACGGCTTCATAGAAAATGGACAATTTTCTAGACAACATGGAATGTTTTTATATGCATGCTATTAGCAAAGTAGTAGTTTAACGGTCCTCACTGTATACTAGCCTTGAAATCAATTCTTCAAAATCCCCCCGATCCCCAAAAATTAAAGCAGAAAGTATAATTCTATTAAACCCATATCTGTGGCCCTTCTTAGAAACTAAGCACAAACATGTAAATATAAATGTCAATATGTACACATATATATAATCTTTACAACAGCTTACATCCTAGTTCCTTGGTAAAAATAGTCCCTAGACAATTCTTGTTATAAAAGGCAGTCTCTGGGTTTCTTTATTTGATTTTTTTTTTTAATTTAGTTAAATTGAGCCAATTAAGCAGCAGGGAACACAAAGAGAGATACTGCTGGGTGACCTGGCTTCCCTTAGAGGAACGGCCTCAGGAACATCGGACTCCAGGGAAAATTCTGGCATGTGAGCTGGCGACACTACTAGGAAACGTCTCTCCACAGTGAGCTAAGGTATCAGGAGAACCTAAAAGAGATCCTGGCTACAGTGCGGATGGGGGCGAGGGAGCTGTGGGAGGACAGTCCTCCTACTTCTGGAACTGGTAACAGTACCGAACCAGGAGGCTGCAAAGCCTTGGCTACGAAGTCAAGTTCGGAAAGCAGCACTCTGCTCGCTTTCCCTGCAAACGCGAACACGTGGGCCTTCCCCGCCGTCCGTGGGCGCCGTGCTGAGCAGTTTATTCTAATCTACACAGCCCAACAGTTTTTTTTCGCGACATCCATGAACATCCATAATCATTGCTATTTACTTTCCCAACACTTCGCAGCTTATCTCCCATCTGCACAAAATCATTCACATGGCTGAAAATTTAATTTAAAAGCCTTTAAAAATGTGTTTTCACTATTACACATTAGGTCAGCGAACAAGCATTTCAGGCAGGAAAAACTGATCCTGCCTCAAACTCACATTACGCTCCTTCCCCACCAGACTTCCGTTACCAATCAATGATGTATTTGATACAAAATCCTTACCGTCGTTCATGTTGCAGAGTTTGGGATTATGGTCTTAAAAGTAACACATAAGGGGAAATGTACAGCCCTCTTTAAATACCTTATAATAATATTTCCAGACTAATAAACATACTCAAGCACAGAAACAATATTGAAAACGTTGACGTTAACCCCAACTTTACAAGAAAACACTGCCAACTTCCTCTAAAGAGGAAGTACGGTGGTAGTTTTTCCCTTCAGAACTTAATCAAAAGTTTCCATAAAGAAGTTAGCTAAATCTCCTCCATCATCATATGACCAAAAAATAATAATAATAATTCAATTACAATAACACATATATAAACCAGTAAAACGCTAACCAAATAAAACAACTGGAAACACCGGAAAACCAATCATAAGTTTCCATAAAGACAAAAAAAAGCAAACTCTTAATCCATTAATCTATTGGTGAATAAATTCCAGGAAAACACAAGGAAACAAATCCAAAATGTATTTAATAAAACATAAGGTACTACCCAAAGCAGCAATAATGATTTCTGTCTACTTACAGCCGGTATAGCTTCGAAGTCCCAAGAAACAGCAACTCAGGAAACAGCTGAAGGTGATTTCTGTTTAAACGCCTTTTGAGGGGGGGAAAAAAATAAAGAGAATGTTACATAGAAAATACCCAACAACGAGACTGCGATTTGGTAGTGTCATGCCTTATCCTGTATTTCAGGAAAGAATAAAGTGACATTCAAGAGAATTCAAGCATTGCAAATCAAAAGAAGGTTGCACCTTGTTACATGACTCTTTAAAGCACTTTTCCATTGTGCTTACTCAGATGATGATTCCTGTGGCCTAAACGCTAAACTCATATCCTCTGCAACATCAGTTAACCAGAATATACACAATGAAGGACTTCTTGACTCAGACTCCAGTGTCCAGGTGAGCCGAGAGTTCAACATACATCAGAAATATCACAGTAAATGGCGCCCTAAACTAATTCGTGTACTGTCGTCTCAAGTGACCTAAATTTTCAGCCAAAGTACTGTGGGAAGATGGAAATTAGTTTTGTTAGCTTTTCATTTAGTTGCAGGAAAAAAAAAAAAGTGTGAAAAAGTGCCAGTGTGTAGGCAAAATCAGAAGGAAATCGAAAAGTTCAAAGCTCAACCCACAGTTCTTGACCCTTAACTGAATTTAAGGCTGAATTATAACTAAATGGTGTCCAAAAATGTTTAAATTATGTTTCTAAAATGTTTAACTGATATTAGAATGTTTTAATGTTTTAGAAGAAAATTCGATTGTAACTCTAACTCAACTTGATCGCTGATGGTACATGACTGTTCTTTCAGACTAAGCGTACTTGTTAAATTCTGGCCCTGATGTATTAATATCCTAATCCCATTTGTTTTAGGAGTATGATTTAACATTTCAGTAAAAACAAATGTCTATCTCTCTGCCTTTCCCAAATTTAAATTATGACAAGCTGATGCGAAAATGCACATTTAAGTGACTTATAAGCTGCTATACAGCTCTAGAAAAGAGTTAGAAGGTCCAGACACTAATGTCACACTCAAGAAACTGGAGGTATTTCTTAAGATTTAAAGATAAATGTGAAGGAGACAAGAAGAAGAGGACATATCAATCTTGATATATTTAAACAGTCATCAGGTGGAAGCAGAATTACACTTATTTGGTCTCCAGAAGGCAAAAATGGCACAGAGATTATAACTCTTAAGAAAGTAGATCGTAAGGAGGATCTTCCAAGAATCGAAGATATTTAAAAAAGGAATGATCTGACTTGAGAAACTCTCACTCTTTCTCCTGCATATTCAAGAAGAGCCTAAGCATTTTTTTTTTTTCCTGCAAAGGGTGTTAAAAAAAAGAAATCCTGCGGTTGGGCCAGGTGAACTTCAAAACTTCCTCCAAATCTAAAATGCCACGAGGCAAAGACGGCAGCCATAACTTTGTTACATAACTCAAATTATGAAGAAGCTGGTCATCTACAGAAACATTCTCAGAGCTTAATAATATATATACTCATAAAAAAGTATGCCAAGACAATTAGGGAGAAAATAATAAAATTAGTGGTGAAAGGGTACACTTATTTCCCACTTACATGAAATTTTATGAATAAAGCACGTAACGAGGTTAAATTTAAAGTGAAACGAAAGCTTTTATTTATTTATTTTTCTCTGCCGGGCATGATTCTGAGGAAGGACTGCTTCCAGAGTCTACTATTATACAATTTTGATAAATATAATTTACTTATGGCCTTGTATTTTTCTCTCAAAAAGTAGACTGCAAATGTTCACAACAGTGGTAATGAGAATTTTTTCTAGGGAAGCAACCACTCTTGGAAAGATGCCCATGATCCAAACAAGCAATCCCAGGGCAGGGATGGGCTTTCACAATCTGATTCAAACCATCGGACTAACATCACCCATGATTCTCCAGCCGCAACAAGCATGTTCCTTCGAGCCCCCAGCCCTCTGTATGGAGTGCTTCCCCTTTTCTCCGAAGGGTACTGTTTTCACGTCCTCTGTGAAACTCTCCTTCCTTCCTTGGCTGTGTCCCCGTATCCCCATGGCATTTGATAAAGAAGAGTCCCTGAAGCTGTATTCTATTTACTCACGTACTGGTGCATTTCCCACGAGGCTATAACTCTTTGAGTATGAAGACCCCACCTTTGTATTCTCTCCCTTCTTCTCTGACACTCAGTAGGGTCTTAGGAAATGCGGAATAAAGAACGGACTGCTCTTTTTGCATTTTGATATAGTTCGATAAATCCTTAGCATATGTTGTTCTATATTGGGCCAGCTCTCCTCTGGCACGCTCCCTGAGGTACCTGCCTTAGTTTTATGTCACTCTGCAGCAAGCCAAGGCCCTACCACAGCTGCTTCCATGTGCTCTTTATGCCAATTATGTTCTTTCCCTCCCATCGACCTCTACCCCACCACTACCCCACCATTTTTAACATCATCCAAAAGTGCGAAGGAATTCAATACCTTTAAACAAATTCAGATACATAAGTAATTGATAGCTGCTACTTGATTTCTTTGTTAATGGGCCTACATCAGTGCAATTTCGGATACTGTGAGAGTGTAGATATTCCAGATTGGGTTCAGGCAGTCTCTTCTTCTCAATTATTACTTTCATATTCCCAGTGGTTCTTATTCACTCCAAAAGTAACCTATCACACAATCTTGCTATGTGAAGGACACAGTTCTGAGAGGTTTACATAAATTATCTCATTCATTCTTCAGAAGAACCTCATGCGTAGGTACTACTTTACTGCTGTTTTAGAGGGAGACCCACAGCTCATAGAAAGTAGTGACAGAACTTGAATTCAGGTGGGATGACTCAGAACATACTCTCTGAACCAACCCCCTACACACAGTCTAAAGATTCCTAAACAATAATTCAAAGTAACTAATGCTGAAAATTTCCTTTTCACCAATCTCTCCTTGAGAAAAACATAGTTTATATGGCCCATTTCGTAAGTATCTATGAATGAACCACCCAAAAATGAAACACCAAGTTCAGCTCACTGTTTTAAAGATCCATTTAAAATACCTACAGTTGAAAAAAAAAAGAAAGAAAATGCTTATTTTTCTCTAAATTCAAGTTATTTACCATTTCATGAAAATTAATATGAATGATCTTAATATGTCTAAAACAGCCCTGAGTATAAGACAAGATAGTATCATACAAAAAAATAGAGCAGAAAAGTGATGTGGTAACATGCAAAGAAAAACAGTCTGACCATGCTTTTTTCCTTTAAAAGAGTATTCGCACACTTATTTTACCTGTTCTTCTCTCTCTTCCCTCAATACTAAGAATAAAAATACAAACGTTAAAATAAAAAGTAAAACTCTTCCAAAATATTCAATCAAGGAAAAAAATTTAAAATCAGAAATTCTTGTACAGTGACCAGAAATTAAATCCTTAATCTAAAGAGGATTTTTTTTTTAAATTCAGAATTACTTTAAAAACTATTAAGATGCATAACAATTTCTAAATAGGGCTGGAGAAAAGTAACACGACTACTTCTAATGCCACAGAGTATTTCTTAGCAGCTTGAAAAGGACAGTGTCATAATAATAATGCGAATGGAAATGAATTAGAGAGGGTAAAATCAGATAGTCCCAGAACAGGAGAACAGCATGCAGTGAATCAGAGGTGTCTTGGAGGAGGATGTATAGGAGTCAGCTCAAATTAGCTCTGTTAAGAAGACCAGGTGGGTCGGTTACCTATTGTTCCAACCAAGGATACTCAGTTATGTCCAAGGAGAGATGATACAGATTTAGGGACAATCAGCTCTTGTGTCCTCTTTAGTTAGATAGAATGTGCCCACAAGATCTCAGGACCGATCCAGAATTCTCTGGATGGTAATTCATGGTTTCACAAAGGTGTGTAATATGTGTCTCTGAGACACATTTTCTTAGGGCAAAAATGAGAGGAATCTTCTTGTGCCACGGGCTATTTCTGAGTGTGACCTTCAGTAGAGTGAGTTATATTTCTGTATCACACAACAACACATCACTGGCCTCTGAAATGCTGACTCTTAACAAGCTCAATCTGCAAGGCAGCCTAAGCATTATTGACAAGCATTGTTTCAAATTATGATCCGTCAGCTACTCTGGTGACTTGCCCATTGGTAGAGGTTAGTCTCTTATTGTTTCAACTTTCACCTCAATTCAATTAAGATTTGCCACCTTCACCCCAATCCGAAATGTGAAGTGAAAACAACTTTACCAAAGCCAGTGAAAAATGTATGCCTCATATTTACCTGTCATTGTAAATGTAAGGTATTTCAGCAGTGTGCCTGGCCTGTGACAAGTAAAATGCTGCCTTAAAACGTCTATCATTTGTAATCTCTTATTCCTCACACATAAATGCCTTCTCCTGACGTAAATTTCCACTTGCCTCTTTAAAATGTTTTTATCCTAACATTTTTAAAGCAAAGATTTTTAAAATTTAGCCACTGTTAGATAAATAAAAAAAAATTATATTTTCATCAGTGATAGCAATGATAATTTAATCTTTGATATTCTATGATAGACATATCAAAATTTATTAGTAAAAATCTCGCATCCACTTCACTCCCCTTTCTTCTTGGTATTTACATATTTAGAGAGATTATAAGAATTAGCCTAAAACAAAACTTAAAAGGGATTTTATACTTTCTTCGCTTTTCCTCTTGATCATATGCGATATGATAAAAAATTAGAATGAAACGATAGTAAATATAAATATATAAAAGTCATATTTATTATATACACATTTTATTAGCTTAATCATATAAAAAATTCTTAAACTGAGCTTTTGAAAAATAGGAAACATTGAAATACATAAAGAAACACATAATTCACTACGTGCCAACTATGTGCCAAGTACGTTGTGAAACTACGTACATTATCTTACTTAAATCATGTACCCCCAGTATGAGACATAATAATTATCTGTCCTAAGGATGAGGAAACAGAAGTTTTGAAAGATGAAGCAATCTGAATGAGCTCTCACAGTCGATTTGAAAACCAAGGGCTTTCTGATGTCATTCTTATCGAATGTGTCTGATTTTAAAAGGGGGGAGAGGAGTTTATATCTGCTTAAAAGGCATAATCAACAGCACAAT